CTCCCAGGGTAAAAAAGAAGGGTCATTTACAAGAAGACAGCAACAAAAATGTCCAACTGGAGAGATGAAAAGATTTGGGAACTTCTGTTGGTAGGGGCCAACGCAGAAATAGTCAGACAAATTAAAGGAATGGCAAGGGACTCCGCGTCATGTCCCGCCTCAGTTCGTCTCCAATCGGAAAATATCTGGTTAGGTGTAAGATAAAAACTACATGGTGACGTTTAGTTTAGGAAAAACATTGTGGTTTGGCATTAAATTAGTACTTTTGTTACTAATGCAACGTCACTTATCTCACATGACATACATCACATACAACACATCACTTATATCACTAGTGTTTTATGCTACACACACTAGCATAGTAGGCTACGCTATTATTAAAAAAAGTCAACACTGACTTCACGACGGGAACAGCGGTCTCCTGGGTGAAAGTCCTGCGTTTGTTTGACCCCTCCTTCCCACCTTTTGGGGCTCCCTACAATATTACGTGGACTTCGTCACTTTTTTAAGGTACATCAAGTCGCTTCCTCCTCTGCTCCTGTAATAATTCATTCAGCCACTAGAGGGTGCCACCTTAGAATAAACTACAGGTAGTAACAAGCTGCTTGCACAGTCAACCTGTGCAGTTGGTTGATATTATACTGCAAGAGTGTACTGTATATTTTAGGCAAACAAAATCACTGCCAGTGAACAGTTAGCAGACATGTTCAGCATCTATGCTGATGTATAAACAGAATTTCTTGGGAGACACAGTTGAGGTCGGGGTGATGGATGAGACGTTGTGAACTTTATGCAAAAGACCAGAGTTCACGTCCTCTTTCAGAACATTACTGTACGCTTTTTTTTAAAACCACAACCAGCATTTTTTCTGAACCTTAACCAAGTGTTTGAGTTGCATAACCCTCACCAAACCTTAACCGCAGTTTATTTGCCATACCCATGATCTTTTGCTAACCTTAACCCTGCTGTAGTTGTCTTTGAACGTTATCCAGGATTTTTTGCAGAGTCATCCAACATTAATGTTCCCCCTGGCAGTACGATTGTTTTATGGGATGTCCTGATTGATGCCAGCTCTCAGCTGATGAGCCTCTTGACACAGTGTGATTAAAACTAAATGAAGCACATGGACAGTTATTTCCATTATTGATTAATCTATTAACCATTTTTAGAGTGATTTATTGCTTAGTCTATAAAATGCCAGAAAATAGTGGAAGGTTATGGGATCCTTATTTTCCAGAACAACCAACATTAGTAGGGAATGTCCAGTCGACACTTTCCATCATCCGTCCACTGAAATAATTACATCTAACTCAGCCGACCTCTCATTTTTCTACTGCTTTGAACTGATTGTCTCTGCAGATCAATTTGTCTGATACGCCTTCTAATGGGTGGGAAAGCTCTAAGTGACCATGAACAATGATTTTCAGAATATTTCCCATGACTGCAACATTTCCCCCTTCTATTATGTGTGTGCCCTTTGGCTAATGTGAGTGGAGCTGTGTAAAGTGTCTAACGCCTTTGCCCTCTGGTGTCATTCATCCTCATTTCAGCATCATTTGATGTGTTCACTATTATATTTCTAGGAAGAGGTGTTTTCAGTGATACCGTCAGTGCAGTCTTACCTTGTGCAACTATTTTCAGTGAATACAGATTACTGGCAAATGTGATTATTGTGGTTTCTTGTCGTGATGTTCAGATGGCCCCCATGGGATAGAGTTTGGTTCAATGATAACCAAAACAACAAACCACAAAATCAGTTCACTCTGGTCTCAGTGAACAACGTCCACAAATGACGACACACAACGTGAACAAAGCCTCACAGTGGTTTGAAAACAACACAAACGCGATCCGATGAACCAAAATAACCTTCAAATACCAGACCCTGACACCAGCGATCTGAGAGAGCGGACTGTCTCTTCATGAAGTATGGGAGGAAAACTAGAAGATGAGGAGAGAAAAGAGTAGCAGGGGGATAAAGGGAGAAAAGGAGTGTTTGATTGTGTGTCTTTGCTTATGTGTCCTTTGGAGCATCCCCAGGCCTGTCTACTCTGTTCTCTCAGCGGGCCGAAGCCGATCGGTTCCGCGCTGTGAGCCTACATGGTTTTAGCCAGGGCCGGCACAGACAGACAGCTGCTATTAAACCCTGATTGTTTCAGGTTCACAGGGTGTGAAAGGGTCTGATTGAGGGGCTGTGATCCCAGTGAGGGTGGTCTTTCTCCCCCCCTCTCTTCTCTCCCTCCTCCCCCCTCACCTCCCTCTCACTGGAAGGTGGGAGGAGGGTGTTGGGGAGGAGGATTGGTGAGGAGGGGGGGGGGGTTGCAGGGCATCACGTGACACATGTTTCTTGCTGAGCGGACCAAAATGGAATCTGGACAAAAACACACCACTTGTTGCTGCCTGCCTTTGGGTACCAGTGTGTCACGTAACTGGCGGCCAGTACACAGAAATCAAACATTGTCCACATTATTGATGCCAGAGAGAGCCACAAAGAGTCCATGTATGTTGCAGTAATGCGTCTCTTAATGAACAACTGTCATCTCTCAGATTACCTCTGCTTTGTATGTCGCTTAAGTGAACAGATTAAACATACAATCCACCTTAAAATCCTCAGCTACATTTGTTTATCAGGGTTCTTGCACCATTTTTAAAATAAAATTCAAAGCTTTTTAAGACCTCAACAAATATAATTCAAGTCCCAAAACAGTTTTGAAACAGTTTCTTTGATGGAAAGGAGAGATAATGTATTGAACCCTACTCTGGAAAAACAAAACTTTTCCATTACTTTGTTCAGTGCTGTGACTACTGTCAATTCAAACTTTTCCATTCAAACAAGGTGTAGATTCAGGGAGGGCGTCCCCCTCAATAAAAACATGTAAGTAGCAGAGGTCTTTTATTTTGAAATTCAAGACCCTTCCTCCATACATTGATGCAGAAAAATTCTCAAGAATGAAGGAAATTAAGTGTTTAACACTGAAAAAGTTCCAGGGGGAGGACCCCAAACTCCCATTTCACATGCTTCCCATAACACTGAAATTAAACCTACGCCCTTGCAAATAGTTAACCAATCAGAGAACAGATCAAGCATAACAATAAGCTATATAATAAAAGTCGTCAGAACAGCCTGTCCCAAGCCAAAAACGTTCTGTATGAATTACACCTTGCATCCACTGGTGCCACACACCTCCAAAAGTTATCTCGCCTCAACCATCAACACTGCAGATTTAATACGTGCAGCTAATTTACGGTACATTTTAAGACAATTTGTGACCTTAATTATCTTGATTTTATTTTAAAGCTTTTTAAGGAGCCACGGGAGCTCTTACTTCTACTGGCCTAATGGGAGAAGGAATTCATGCCACCACATTCAATTGTATTCAGCCTGATAGAGACTTATCAGCGCTCTGATAAACCACATCAGTCCTCTCCTGTGACTGGACAGTAGGACAGTTGCTTCCTGTATGGTCTGTTTGTTTAAGAGCATTCCCATTAAGGAGCCTTTTGGCCTTAACACACTTGATAAAGACCAGGGAGGGTGAGGAAGCTCCCCTGCCGAGCTTTTCACACGTGGCCAAAGGACAAGTGCACTTTCCTCCCTTCGAAAACTCTCCCCCGTCTCAACCTTGAGAACGGCCCGAGTGCTTCTCTGCAAAAAAATCTGTACTTGATTGTATTTTCTGTTTTCCTGTAATCAAACAAAATGTCTGAGGTGCTTACACGCTTAATTTCCACCTCACACGAGACAGTTACAACTGCTGAGCACACTTTTTTTTACCTCTTGTCCGGTGTTATCAATTAAAAATGTAAATAATACAACAATTATTTGACACATAATCCACCATTTCACTTAAAAACTTCCCAAATAAATCACCGACTTCTATTCTTATGTTTTGATAGATCTACTAAAGACACTTTGTGGCTTACAAATACACTCACTCTGGGTATGTGAGTGTGTCTGTGCAAATACTGTTTAGGGAGGTTGTGAGTTTGTGTGCTCAGCACTTCTCACTGTCACTGTGGAATAAATAAGTGTTTGGCTCTTCTATTGAGTCCAGTGTTGACGCTCTTCAGTGCAGGGCCACTACATGAAGACCAGCAGCCTAATCTTCCCACATTAGCAGCTACAGTCATCTCTTATAGAGATATAATTAGATTAGATTCAATAATCTATGTCAGATTAGAGATGGATTATGGGAGGCTTCAGTGCGTGTTTATTTTAGTCAAAAGAAGGGACAAAAATGCTGCAAAACATTAATTTGAGACATTATTTCATGGGCTGATGGGGCAGTTACAGGAGTTTTCCTCCTCCTGATGCCTCACACAGCGCTCAGTGATGGTGTTTTGTGGGTGTCCCAACAGAAACTCACATTTGGAAAAGATATTGGCACCTTAAGTATTTCAGGTTACAAGAAACAGCTGTTCTCGGGTGGCCTTGCGACCCTCGGCTGTGCCAGATGATTTTTTAAACTGGGCTTGTAGTCAGACCTCTAAAATAAGCACTTTCCCCCCGAGAGATAAACGTATGTGAAGGCAGGAAAATGTACATTTACTGATGTCTTAACTCGTTCCTGGCAGCAGTGTTCCTCACATCTCAACAGATGGATAGGAAAGGCAGGATCAGCGCTACTTTGCATGGGGAGGAATGAATCCACAAAAACCGGCGTGAGGCAATACGCACTTAAGTCGGTTAGTAGAAATATTATGCAACTTAATCACTGAAATCTTGAGTGTACAGGGAGTGTAAAGCAGCCTAATTAATTTAAATCAGTGCTTCCAATGCGTAAAAATCGCGCACAATCATCTGGAGCGATAAATCCAAAAGAGGGCTTACTAAGAGGACTTCAGTAATAACACAAGTTTTTCCAACTTCAGAAAGTCAGACAGTGATTATGCTGGTGCCGAATAATTAAACACAACCCTCCAACTACAGATAAACTCGTAATTAAGCTTTTATCAGTGGTCGCCCGTGATTTGAAAAGCGAATATGAATCACCATCACTCACCTCAGGTTAATGCAGGAACATTCAGCATGAAACTTTTTGACTTGAATCCCAGAGTCCTTGGAAGAGCTCAGAGTGTCCAAGGACTGCGAGAGTCTGAGTTTCCAGTAAAGCCTCCCTTCTCCTCTCCTTTTCTCTCGACTTTCTGGCACAGACGCGCTCGGATGGAGATGACTGGATTCTTCACAGAAACCGACACTTTATCCTGTTTTCAGCAGCGCTTTTCCATCGCGTTTTCGCTTCAGAGTCACTTTACGCAAACGGTGACAAAATTGAACCCCATGTTCGGGCTATGGAGTCCCTCAAAGCGCCCTGGAGTTGGCTGCACAGCCAATGCGGGAATGCGCACCCCCTTCTCCTCCTCCCTCCCTCCCTCCCTCCCTTTCTCCACAGTCTGTGGACCACCCCGAAACAGGAAGTTCACTTTTTGTTTTTCTTAAAAAAGGACCATGCTGCCTCAGTTTTCCCTCAAAGTTAACATGCACTGCAGATTATCCACTCAGGCTGATATACGTTCACTCCTGCGCCTTTTGGTCATTGTGAGTAAACACAAACACATTTACAGCGATATAGTTAAGTTATATAAAGACATTACAGCATGCATGTGTTTATGAAATACTTGTATGGACATGGCTGCGTCTATATAAAGTGCGCTCCTATCTAGTAATTAGGATAATCTATCTATAAATGTTTTTGTTTACTTTAATAGTGTAACTTCATAGCAGCTTCTCGGACAGCGTGTGTGGCTGGCTACGTGTGGGGATGCTGCGGATTGCTGCGCCTTGCCAGTAAAATCCACCACAAAACCTGGACTGGAGTCGAGTCTGCAGCTCAGGACCAGGACCAGAGCCACAAGTCTAAGGCATTTTATGTCTCTCTTATATAGAGAACATACATTCATGCAATATCTGTACAAATTAAACAGCCAGGGATACAAATAAATAATACATTTGTATATAAAGTTATTCTTGTAGGTCACTGTGGACTAAGACCCTGTGGTCCTAGACTCCCAGGGTCTTAAAAGGACAGTCGACCCCATAATCAAAAATGCAAATGTTTCCTCTTACCTGCAGTTCTGTTTATCAGTCTAAATCATTGTGGTGTGAGTTGCAGAGTGTAGGAGACATTGACTGTAGAGATTTCTGCCTTCTCTTGACTATAATGGAACTAGATGGCACTCAGCTTGTGGAGCTCAAAGTACCAAAAAAATACATTTGAAAAACTCAACAAACGCAGCAAGAAGTGTGCATCTACTGCTACCTCACCTAGCACCACTGAGTTAGCTAACATTACAGCTCAGCTGAGGAGGACGCATTGGTGTTTACACTTTCTGCTGTCACAAGCGCGAGCTTGTCATTCATGAGTAGATGCTTCCTCCTGCATGGCGATACATTCAGCCCGTGTAGTTCGCAACAAGGTCTGTGGATTATCTTGAGTAACCTGGTCATGATTTCTAGAAAATGACATATTTTTTTTGGTACTTAGAGAACCACAAGCCCTCTCCCCAGCGATGCTTTCCGGCTCCTCCTGGGGAACCCCAAGGCATTCCCAGGCCAGACAAGATATGTAATCCCTCCAGTGTGTCCTGGGTCTACCCCAGGGCCTCCTACCGATGGGACATGCCTGGAACACCTCTAATGGGAAGTGGCCAGGGGGCATCCTGATCAGATGCCCGAACCACCTCAACTGACCCCAACTGAAGGAGTAGCAGCTTTACTGTGCTGCCATCTAGTTACATTATATTCAAGAGAAGGCCAACATCTCTAAGGCCGAAATCTCCAACACTCTGCAACTCAACTCAGATGTGTATTTTTGATATGGGGTGAACTGTACCTTTTACAATTCGTGTGTCAGTTATTTGATTAATTTCAAATTTGCACCATGAAAAGCAAAACCAACTGAAGCAGGTCATGCGTTTACAGTAATGGAGCCCTGTAATGTAGCTCTAACCCCAGCACTATTCTAGTCAATATTTTTCTCTAGTATTTTTTTGATCATAATAATGTGCTTAACAAAATTATGACAAACTAGTTGGCACATACAGAACCTGAAGCCAGTTAGCATTACTCCAGCACTGGAGTATAAAGTGGTTTCCCAGTCTGTGTGTAATGAGACTGCCATGTGTACTCTGCTCTGTTGAACTGTCGTTAAAGGAGCTCTATACGGTATTTAGAGCCTATGATTCAGAGGTTGTCTGCACACGGCTCTCAACATGGAGGTGGCTGAGCCAGTGGCTACTAGCTAACGGTGATAATAGCACAAACGATGCTAAATACCACAGCTGAGCTAAAAGTGTTAACCAGGGGGAACCAGAGGGGTGGGCACTATGCTTCCATGACAACAACCTCCCGATTGAGCGGTAACCAATGTATGAGTGCATTTTATAGTGGCAGCGATTAGCTAGCTGGTGGGACAGAGACATGCACTAACATGGACGTACGGCCAGACTGTCTACCACAGCAAAGAACAGAGAAGCTCGGATTACAACACACAGAGGGAGCGTGACCTTATTCTCTGTTTAGGATGCCATTACTTCACTATGTCTTTACTCATTAGTGCTATATTAATGCTCTAAATATCAATTAGTGCTTCTTTAATGCAAACTTGGAAGCAAGGCAAGGCATAGGCTATGTAGACATCCCCTGTTCCTACAGACAGTCAGTCAGTACACAAGTGAATTATCATGTTTTTTTGGGCCCCTTGAGTGATTAAGTGTGTGTGGCTAGACGACAAGTTCGTCTCAAGGTGAGGCAGTTTTGTGTATTTATAATGTGTTGTCTATTATATTATAAAATGCTGTAACTCATACTCAGTCCAGACTAATGTGGTTTCAGACATTAGCAGGCTCCAGTGTTATTACCCCTGTCTGTGTTATTCATCATTGTCTGTATTTGTGGTGTTGGCACTTCGACTGGGGATCATATTACGATGCTGTTGTTTTTGTAGTACTGTCGCATACAATACGGAGGTAATCAGGAGTTAGTAGAGATAAAATGCGAGGGCGTCACAAGGAGTTGTGGTTAATATGCAGTTTGAAATGTTCCACTGTTGCTGCGTCTGCCATTTGCAATTTGTGTTTTAGGTATATACAGCATGTTGATGTCATTAGCTGACCTTACTTGATGCTGAACTGCTGCCATCGGTGCAGGGAGTGTGAGTCAGCTGTGAGAATTAAATAATATTAATAATGTTAAGCATACAGTCTATAACTGCCAGGTGACGTCCCTGTGTCTGTAGTCTCTAGACGACTCTGTCAGCTTGGAGAGATTGTTTTCCACAAAGAGAAAAATATCTACATTTATGATTCACCCATATTAAAAAATAACACTTCTTGTATTTATCTATGCAGATATTAAGTAGAAAAATATGTATTTTTGTAGCTGACCTTCTAAAGAAGTATATTTAATATTTAGACCCGCATGGACAACAAAATTAAGTATTTGAGGCGCAGTAGGTTTTGCAGCAACTGTTATTGCTAAACAAATATTAAAATTAATGTAAATGGATTTTAGGAGTTATAATTACATGAAAAGTAAAAGTTAATCTCATAAAACTGTGAAAGCCTGCTATATTTATTAAACAGTAGTGATAAAAAGGGATTTGATAGCACAAGTAGAGTAACCAGGATGAGATGAGAGTTTCAGTCCACATTAAAATAATACATCTACACTTTAAAGCAACAATGAAAGCTGATTCAAAGTGCGAACAGTTGGTGACCTGAACCGAGGCAGGAGTCCATTGAGAACATACGGCCAGTGGTTAAATCAGATTTTGTCAATGAGAGTCGTGGGCTTTAGTCCTAATATAGCTGCCGCTGTAGCAGCCAAGCGGGGAAATCTTGGACGTAAATCAGCCCACAGATGCTGGAGCCATATGCTTCATCTGACTGCGGACAGAATCCAACACAGGCTTCAGTCCAGATTATCAATGGGAGGAGATTAAAGGTGAAGCAGCAAATCCAGTGAGACTAAGTATAGACGGTCTCGTTGGATGGTGTGTAGTATAATATATGAGAGTATATAAAGTACTTTAGAGAGAGAAAAAAAGTTTAGACTGAAAATGCGTTCAATAGTATTGAATAGATATTTTCACTCAAGGATTTAAAGCTGTTCTCTGAAAGATGAATGATAGACTGTTATTAAATGATTACTTTGTCCACTTGGGGGCAGCAGCACAGGTTTGACACAGTTTTATTACCTTAGTTGCAAACAGTTGCTTATTTACCCATCCACCAAGCCATCATTTGTATGGGGGGCCAGTATGGGTAGTAAATGGGTTGAAAATTGAGCCCTATATTGACCCCATTTCAATTGCCCATGTTGATGGCTTTACTTGAGTGGGCCCCACATGGTTATGCTAGTGCTGTCCGGGTACCAAGTGGGAATGGGCCCAAAAATAGGCATCTCATCTGGGGCCCACTTGGGTAAACTGGAATGGGACCAATATGGAACCCATGAACAATTCCATGTAGGGCCCATTTTTCAGCCCATTTACTAGCCACATGGGCCTCACATACAAATGTTGGCTGGGCAGCAGCCACAGAGCAACATTAGTATTTATTTAAAGCTGTGTTTTCGTCCTGGCAAATGTAAGCCCACGCTAAAAACCCCCTCACCTCACCTGAGCTCTTTTTGGTCTCCTGCAGGAAATATATGACTCTTTAGCTGCTAAATGCTCCACTATGTTCACCAGCTCTGCAAACTATATCTGTCTGTTGTGTGGTGCTGGACAGGTGATGGACAGTTGGTTTCATAGAGCAAACGAGGTTACAATGACATTGTGGGTCAGGTCTGTCTAAAGAGCATTTCACATCTGAAAATATCCAGTCAACTGAGCCGCTTCTTTTTTTTAAATGACAATTAAAGGAGCAGTGTGTAAGATTTAGGGGGATTTAGTGGCATCTAGTGGTGAAGATTGCAGACTGCAACCAGCTGAAACCTCTCCAGGTTAGAATTTCTTTTAGTGTTCATTGTTTAGGAGGTTTTTATCAGGAGCCAAATTATCTGCAGAGGTCTCTTCCTCTCCAGAACAAACAGTGCAAATGATTTAAACAGATAAAAACACTAAATAAAGCGGTTTCAGGTTATAAAATCTGTGTTTTCAGATGCTGCTCCTCGCAAAGGGAGTGCTAACTACGATGGCTGACATTAAAACACAAATGGCCCTATCTAGAGCCAGACTTTGGTTTGTCTGTTCTGAACGACTATAGAAAAAGTGGCATTGCAACATGGCGGACTCCATGGACAAGGAACCGCTCCCTATGTAAATATAAACGGCTTATGCTAAGGAAACAAAAATACAACATTTCTTATTTTTAGGTAATTATACACTGAAGAGAACATGTATGTTACATTCCATGTCTGCTTATATATCCCCCTAAATCCTACACACTGGACCTTTAATAAGTTGATCTGTTTATCAAAAAATATTGATCGCTGCAGCTTTAAAAACCAAACAAGAATGAAACAAAAATCAAACTGCAACTTTAGCATTCCTTACCCAGAGGAAATATTGCTGTGTTTTCCAGCTGTATTTCTAAAAAATAAATAACCATGCAAAGACCAAATGCACATCTCAGTGAAGTCTAGAGTGTACAGGTGAATGGGACAACCATTAGATGTCTTCCTCCAAAGCTGATAGAGAGCTTACTGTGAGAGACAGATTAAAGAAAGCTAAAGCAAAAAGGTTTTCACCATGCCATTCAGTTCAAGTGAACACGAGAGCTGTAAATGAGATGATGCTTCACTACTTATCACTTTATTTCTGCGAACCTGGCTAAAGCATATTAACACAAAAGCTTTTACTGTCAGTCAGAAGCTGTTAGATGGTGTTGGTCATTGCTTGTACATTTACTTAATCTGCTGATTTATATACAGTGTATTAATATGTAAATGAGATATTTCCACAGTTGTTTTGCCAAAATATAGATGTAACATAAAGCACAAACAGTGCTTTAGCTTGCTAATAAACACAGTAGTATTTCACAGTAGAGAGAATTCACTCTCTACCGAGAGTAAAAGAAAGTGTTATTCAGAGGGCGAAGGAGCATCCAGGTTTAGAGTATTTAAGGCCACGAGAGGATCCAGAGAAACAAGCGCGTTAGCCAAGTGAGAGGAAGAGAAAGCATCTGTCACTAAGACTCGGGGCAGCTGGACACCATTCCCCCATGCAGCAAAATCCACAAAATCTTTTACAGGATTTGTTTTTCCATTGCAGATGGTCCTTTGCACATGTTTTCTTCCCATTGGTCCGGGGTCTCAGGCTGACAGTGCTGCAGCCCTGCAGGTACAACATATAAGGGCGCTCTCTGCCTGCACCAGGTTCCACCTCAGGCCCTGCACACTGAAGAGAGTAAACCTACACAGCACAAGAAGAGGAGCATCTCTCCATGAATGCTGCACACCTTCAGTCACTGCAGGACAGGTAAGGGCTGCACAGAAATCTTATTGTAGTTCATCAAGGAATTGAATGCACTCTTCTTTTAGTGCAGCTGTGTCTGCAATGCATGCACACATTTAAATAATTTAAATTTGCACAGCCGCTTGCATGTTGCAGCATGTATTTGTGATGCATATCCTACATTACATGGTAGGGTTGCACAGGGAAACTTCAGCATAGCATTTATAACATGCATTTGCTTAGTTGAATTGTGACATTAGCATTTCAAGAGTTTTGCATCCAAAATAGACAAACGTATTACACCCTATATTTAGACTGTTGGATAAAATCTTATGCCCTGTCTTTTATTTAGGGCATGCCCTAAAATTGGAAAATAAGTGTCAACATAATAGATGTGAGTAAAGCTTGTGATTTTTTTTATTATATTGGAAATAGCTAGATCTAATTTGAAATTTGATAACATTTTGATCACTCAGAGTAGGCAATTAGTCTACGAAGTATCTGTCTGAAGATTGATGAATGTTTAAAAATGATAAAATGAGATTCTGTGATACATACTGATTTGTTAACATAACTAACCAAAGCTTTGTTTTTCCCAGTTGACCACAATTTAGTCTCCAAATACATCTGCTTTTACTTAAATTCTGTACTTTTTTTTTTTTAACCTCCACTAATGTGTTTCATGGACTTTTAATCGTATATGTTGTTGGGACTTTGCCCCTAACATGGTGAAGTTAATTTGGCTTAAACATCTCTTCTGTATTTGTGTACTGGTGCAATATTTTATTTATAACAAAGGGATATCTACTGTAGATAAATAGACATTTTAATAACAGAGACTGAAGTGTAAATGGAGCGGGTGTGAAATGTTTTACAACATTCTCTGATAGTACTACTACATGCTGTCCTGTCACAAGTCAGTGTAATCCACTGTATTGTTTTGAACGGATTATGTACACTAGACTGTAAGACAATTTAGACTAGGGATAGTCTGGGTGAGGACACTTTACCTGAAGGACACCATCCAATTTTAACAGAAATACAGCCATTATGTGTTTGAAACACTGCAAAATGTTGATGTTAGTTACGCATTCTCTTTGCCGTTTTTGACAGAGTTCCAAAAAAAAAAGTATCAAACAGTTGAATATGGATCAAATGAAGAGATCATATTATATATTTATATCATGTACAAACACTTAATTGTTTCCCTGTAGAGCCATTTCTGTCATGCTACATGTGTGCCATATGTCAACAGTCTGTTTACAGACACATCAAGTAAATGCAAATTGTATTCTTTAACATGCAATGAATACATGCAATAATAGCACTCCTGTGTAAATGACCATGTAAATGTTTCATTTTGCTTCTTCATGCTTTCAATTGAAAAAGGATTTTTTAAAATGGCTTGTGTTGGCTTCACTGCCACCAGAGGGCAGCATAATACAAGTCTGAGAACAGAGTACACCAAAACACCATGAAAACAGTGATGTCCTATGTACAGTCTTCACCATTAGAGAGCTCTGTACTCACAGGAGATGACATTGTCACTTAGGGCATATACAGTGTGTACACATCCTCCATATAGTCATGATATTAAATACATATGTGTATTGAAATCAACTGCATGCTTTAATAGATACACTTTATCTTATGTGACATATTGAAGCATTTGATTCATGATTTGTGCATTTGTTTTATTCTCTCCCAACAGTTTGATGAAGTCTGGCAACAAACAGAACCACAAATGTAAGAAATTTTAATCACTATAACACATTTACTGCACACTTTTAGCCTTGATTTCCATAATTGTAGAGTCAAATGTCAGAATGTTTTGTTTTTAATTCATATTTACCTCTGTTTACAGACATGTCCTGCATCATCACGTGTACGCTGCACGCCTGCCACTTTCATCAGATGGACAGAATTCACATCATCCCAGCAAATACTGTTGTATGTGACAGGAGAGACATTATCAGTGTTTTTTTTGGTCCTGGGTTAGGTATGTATGCAATAAAATATCTCCAAATCTAACCTATATTTATATACTGTACTATATACCTCTGAAGTGTGTCAGCTTGGTTAAAATGCTGAACTAAATGAAGTATATTTGTATGTTCACATGTGCCATCTGGCTATGATCAGAACCCAGAATATGAACAGCTGCATCATGGACCTCATATAAGGTTAATCAATAAAAGAGAAACTTCCTGTATTCTATATCCACTGTTATAATGCATTTGAAAATTAAAATCTTTGCCTATTCTAATCAGTATTTTAATCCAGAGAAAAAAATCTGACCTACTTTCACCATGATTAAGATAAGCAACACTTGCACACCTAAAGTAACATTGTTGTGTGTGATCGTGATAATTAGGTCAGGCAGGCTAAAGCAACAAACATCACCATATTAAACTATACTTCGTAATTTACTCATTTTATCTCATCCAGCATGCACTCAAAACTCTTTACATCTTGGCCGTTACAAGCTGTCACATTAGTCGCTGGCATACAATAACCTGATTGAATGGATTCTGTTTAGTCTCCCTTGACAGAATTAGGTCCCCGCAGGAAATTGTGTGTGGTAAGACCTGAGTGAAGGTTAAGGTGGAACAGCAAGGACTGTGACAGTAATTCCCTGAGCTGTGCTCGTGGAAGCTCCTGTTGGATCATGAACTACTTAAATCCAGCAGCCCCTGTCCTCATTGTGGCACTTACTCTAAACCCACCTGTTTACAAAAGATACTGGACTTCAAAGCTAAAGAGTTTTAAAGGGAATAGAAAGATTATTAATTGTACCCGACGATCTCAAAGTTTAATTTATAAATTTTGAGTTGTTTTTGTTGTTGTCAGGTCAGAGTTTCACATATTTTCAGTGCCACTGTGTGTAGAATTTAAAAATTAAACTGACTTTGGCTCCTTCCGATGGCAGTACCAAAAAAGTGACAGACATCTACGCCCCCCTCTCACCCTCAGATCAGACCAAAAAGATATGAGCTGAAAGTCAACACAAACTTTGCACCGATGTCTGTTAGGACTGTCCTATTTATCAGAATAATCTGAAACATGCTGTAATCACATTGAAAATGTCACATGTGGAGGCTTTAAGGGAGAATTTAGTCATATTTCTGTATTCTGTCATTTTGGTAATTTGGTTCACGGGCTGCTCAAATTCAGAAACAGTCCTAAAAGCATCTAAAACACATTCTTTCAATGAAATAAACACTCTGCAATGGCACAAATATGTTTAGTAATGTCCTGACTCCTGGCAGTTTTACTGACATTTGGAAAAGTCAACAGCAGTGTCTCTTTCCAGAAATCATGACCTGGTTACTCAAGATAATCCACAGACCTTGTTGTGAGCAGTTTCATGTAGGAACTATTTCATTTCTACTGAATTACACCTGCTAACCTTATCGAAGGAAGGAAGGAAGGAAGAGTGCATCTACTCATGGACAAGAGGCTCACGCTTGTGACAGCTTGAGATGTTAACATTAATGGCAACCTCCTCAACTGTCTGACCTGCTGCATGTATACGTTTGTAATGGTTTTGGGTCCATGTAGCTCTTTGGAGTTAGACGACAGGCAGAAACTCACTTCTACACGAGTGTGGGATTTCACAAATGCTCGTCGTTTATTTTTATGTCAACTTAATAAACACTCCAACCTTACCAAGCCCGGTTGTACGGCTACTACGATTTCATACATGAACAGAATAGTCACCACACGTACTTACAATCATCACTGTTGTGTTGAGAGACAAAAGAAAAGCAGGAGCACATGGGTATCCGTCCGACCAGCGTTGCTGTTAAGCAACACAGTATACACCATGTTAAAGGCACGTTTCATATATTCGGCTGTTACACGTTTCTAGTAGGACACTTAGGTCGGCCAATCACGGCCTATTGGCAGTTCCTCGCACTAGGCTCAGAACTAGAGGTGACTGGGCCTTTGAGTCCATTGCGCCCAGATTGTGGAATGCCCTCCCACAGAATTTGAGAGCCGCAGCATCTGTTGAAGTTTTTAAGAAGCACCTTAAAACCTACCTCTATAGGCAGGTATTCTTCAACTTGTCTTAAGTGATTTAGTTTTGCTAACTGCTGCTGTTTCATTTTGTGTCTCTGTATGTTTGTATGTATGTATTCTTGGTTCTCTCTGTGAGAAGTGCTATACAAATAAATTTTACTTACTTACTTACTTACTTACTCAACAGTTGAGCTAGCAGTAGATGCACGCTGTCGTTGGTTGGTGCATTTTGGTGGGAAAATAAAAGTTCATACATGAAACTGCTCCCAACAAGGTCTGTAGATCATCTTGTAAATGTATTCTATTCTTTCTTCTTTTTTTCATGCTTTGAGCACCACAAGTCAAGTGCCATCTTGTTTCATTATATTTGTGAGAAGGCAGACATCTCTACGGCCAATATCTCCAACACTCGGCAACTCACATCAAACTACAGGTAAATGGAAAAACATGTATTTTTGATCTAGGGGTGAATTGTCCCTTTAAGCTAATTGTTCTCTTGTTCTAGCCAATTATTTTTATGTAGTTAAACTGCTCTCAGAAGCACAGGTGTTGGTTGTAGCAAAAGAATAAAGCCATTATACTCTACCTATTCAGCACCAAATGGCAGACATAGTAGAACATTTAGCAGCTCAAGAATCAAAAGTTTTAGTTAGTTGAGAGTAAAACAGAGCTAAAAGAGTGTGGATCTTGGCTTTCCTTCACCAGGTGGCCAGAAAGATGACTCCAAATGAATGATGATGTTGCTCTGGACTGCTGGATGTGTAAATAAGCAACTATCTGCTTATAATATCACCATGTAGCAATTTAAACAGTAACAATATGTAAAATGCTGTGTTCACTGCCCCCAAGTGGCCAAGAAATTAAGTTATTGCTAGTCTCACCACCAGACAATCAGAGATCTCCGCCTTACTTGTGAGTCTAAGTTATTGCAGGTTAACATATCTGTTCAGTGGCATCAACAGTGTATGCCTCATTTTGGAGAATTTTTATTTACAAATTTGCAGAGACTTTTGGTGAGAACTGGTCCGAGTAGCGGGGTGCCCAGGTGACAGAGACAAAATATTTGCCTGTCGCTGCAGCAGTTAAGGCCTGGACAGCAGGGCCTCTAGCTTGGCCAAGCACTCCAATAAACACAATGGTACAGAAAGCTAGTGAAGACTTATGTCCGTCACTGACTCCAGCTTTTTGGTAAGGGTGTCTGTAAAGTTGAAAGAGAATGAGCGGTCCAGGCAGAAAGCTCAGCAGAGTGGCAGAACCCTGTCAGATAAAGATGCTAAGCAATACCATTTGTATTGGTGGAGGCAGACTGTAGTCTGTGTCTTCCCAATTTTTGATGTGCCACACCTTTGTTGTTCTTTCAGCACCTTTGTTCACCTTATCTAGTCAAATGTATTAAAATCAATGGTACAAATAATGTGTTTACAAATGCAAATGGCAGTGACGTAACAATGACCATAGTCTGCTTACGTAGAGGTGGTGCATTTGAAATGGAACATGATGTACATTCAAGCAGATAGTTGACCTTTGTTGCATGTAAGCCACAGCAGCATATCTACAAACTACAAACCCTGACTGCCCGACATCTGCCCTACATGAGAACTACAAAAGATGGTTGTTGACCTGAAATGTGCTACTTCAGAAAGAGTTTTTGACTAACATCATGTCTTAACAAGTTGCCAATTGATTTGGGGCTGATCACTGCTGGTACTCTTGACTGAGTTCTGCAGTGTCCAAACTCAACCCAGCCAGTTTGGACATATAGTTAATACTGGTGCCAGATTTGGCACAATTTAGGGAGTGCAGGCTTGGGACGATTTCGGCTCTTGTTAGCAGCATTCGGACCAGGTTTGGGCCAATGTTGCCTCTCGGAATCAGTCCAGTGTACCTGGGACGATTCAGTCATGTCATTCTGCAACCATTATTGGGCTGTTGTGTTGTTGGGCACATCAGATATATGTGTTTTGAAAATGTATGTTTATGTTCTCCTTGTTTTTGACTGTTGCAGTGCCCCAAACTACATCAGGGAACTTGTCTAGGATGTTTCAGAGGCACTTGTCCAAGACTTCATTTATTGATACCTCCAGTTCTTTTCTTCCTCTGTATTGACAAGACAAGTTGCTGCTTCTCTGAGTCTTGGAGAGATGCTCAAGCAAGGTATGTACATCCATCAAATAGTCACAGGTGGTCACCATGTTGCAAAAGGTACCTTCTGGTACCCAAACTCAGTAATTCTTTGGTCAATCAAGATTAATATGTTCTCCTCAACTAAAGAAACACAAGAAACAAGCAAGGACAGGGTCCATTTGCCTACTCTGCTTGCTTTAACTTTCTTTATTGGATTGTTTGTAAATTTTTTAAATAAATTGTAGATAGCCAATGTATCAGGAGCTGCAAAAACAGTTAAGAGATCTTGCAAGTTAGCACCCAGTATGATCTCAGTACTTTTCCCATTGATCCGTCTGTTGAAGTCATCAGGTATGCCCTATTCTCTGGGTACCTTATTCATGTGGTATTCTCTTCTTGTTGAGTCTCCAAGTGGCATCTGTGTATCACCGAGTGAACTGTTGCTTTTAATTCATATGTTTGTCAAGCTTGTTTCAGGATTATATCTGTTGTCATGCCATATTTATTAGACCAAGATGGTGCCAATCTGCAGGGTGGGACTGTCTCTTGAAACTGGCTGTCCTTTTGCGGTCAAAAAGCCTTGGCTATAAGGTAAGTGCTAATCACTCCGAACATCATAAACCTGTCTCTAGATGATAGATACAAAATATTGGGGAATGATTTTGCCGTTAGGCATTGAAATAGTGCATGTTTTGATATGTTTACTCAGGCACCAACTCTGACTTCCCTCAGGCTTCATTCTTACCAAGAATTCTAAATAGTAGTATCCAGCCTGAAGATAGGTTTTTCTTGTAAATATAAGTGTTGGCAAGTAACCTCCAAAATCT